ATGTTGTTCCGTCATGAGCTCCTCGACTGGGGTGAGACGCACTGAGCCCCGTGACTCACACCTCTGGAATGATAGTAAATCACTGCGACTTTGTGAATGCTTAAAGCTTCTGGATTTGCCCACGGTTTAACTCTTGACAAACTAAGCCCAAACAGCCACGGTGGCGCATGTTTCCGTGATCGTGCTGTGCAGTACAACTCTCCGATCCGTTTTTAGGCCGCATTGCGTGTTGTTGTCGATGATAATAGTACAGCAATTTACACCTCGCGTGGTACTGCTTGGCATGACGACGAACGTTTCGCTCCACGTGCCGGGACATTGCCTCGGCGTCGCGGAGCGGAACGCCGGCCACTTGCGCCGAGCATCGCGCGGCACAACGGCAAAACTCGCCGGAAAGCCACGATTGGCACGGTCATCGCCGCCATGCGTGCCGAGTATTGCTCTGCAGTCCCTTTGTTGCGGAGGGGAACATTCCTGCCCACAACGCAGGGCCATATAACTCCGCAGAAACGCATTCAGAAATGGACACCCTGATAATTTAGTAGTTATGGGGGCAGTTCTCCAAATTTGTTTCCATGATAATGGGGCACAATGGCCCTCTTCTTACAAACAATGCGATGGGCTCCCCCCCCCCTTCTCCCCACGTTCACGCCAAACTAGCAGATGGCACGTTTGACTTGACAGTGTCATTACAGCAGGAGAGATTACGTTGGATTTTGAAATTGTCACTCTTTGGAAAAAAAAGAACAGCAAGCGACAACAAACCACGGGGGTACGCGGGGTACATAACCACGTCCCGTCGCCTCGTGTCGTTAGGCACATCGTCCACACGCAAAGATGTGAGATAATAACACAATGGGAAGTAAATGAAATCTGTATTACCACGGACACATTCAAATGGTTTGTTATGCCACGACGGAGTTGGCAAGGAAAATGTGTCCCACGGGTGACCTTTATCGGGGCAAGGCTATGAAAACAAAGTGTGTGTGTGTGCGCTTTAAACAATTTTTTTTTACCTCACGCACGATTGTTTAGGGGCTTTTTTAACCCGAGGAAGCGATGACCTTTTTGAGGTTTTGGTAACTAACAGGGCATCCAGTGAAACGGTGCCAAGTTGGCACGGGAATGACTGCTTCAGGGAGGGACCCTGATCCAGAGGTCGCAAACGGGTTTGATTCCTTACCCGTACCCGTACCCGGCCACACCAGGGTTGCAAACGGGTACCCGTACCCATACCCTACCCGTACCCGGCCGGGTACCCGTACCCTACCCGTACCCTACCCGTACCCTACCCGTACCCGGCCGGGTACGGGTAGAAAACGGGTATCGGGTACCTGATTGCGACCTCTGGGATGAAGCCATGTTGCAGGCGCGGGTGGGTTGATTCTAGGAACTTGAATTGTGAGAAGAGACAAGACGTTTGGAAATGAGTGACAAACGGTTACTCACCAGTGACTCACGGCCTAACCAGTAACCGTACTCGGCCGCACCAGGGTCGCAATCGGGTACCCGTACCCGGCCGAGTACGGGTAGCTGGGTATCGGGTAGGGTACGGGTATCGGGTACCCGGTTGCGACCTCTGCCCTGATCTGAATGCTTAACGCGCGCTACTGTGAAGCAGTGGTGGCGTTCTGGATCTCATGAGTGTAGTTGGGGTTTAAATACTTGAACACACCGGTTCCATCATTGCATAGGAGTTTGTGATGACGTTTCACAATGGCTCTGTTTAGCGGTATGTGTGTATTGATATTTAATAAGGCACTGCTCTTTGTCAATCTCCCCTACTGTGTGAAGTCTTCCCCGTGAGTTGTTTGACCATACTTCACCATAATGGTGTTATAATCCACGTCATGATTCAATGCATTTCTCCAACTCGGGGTCAGGGTCATCTACTCAACAATCGATGTATTTATTAACCACTGAAGTGAATTTAGTGGTCTCTCTTTGGCTGGCAGGGTCACTCGTCGATTTATCTTGAGCTTAATTATATCGATGGGTCAATCGTTGCACTCTAGCATCTTCAATATTGTACGGGAAGCTTGGTTATCAGCATGCTCGCCACTGGGTCAATGGACACGCATTGATACAATTCAACACATCACAATAACGGTGGACTTTCACCAGGTTCAAAACATTATTTTGTTTGTCGCGGGGTAAAGAAGATGAAAAAAGTAAATAAACACATTTATCTCAACACGTCACTCCCAATCTTGCGTCTGCAAATGACCCGTCACCAATGGTAGTATATATGCCCATCACGTATCTGCTCCGATCAATCAACCAACCAACCAACCATGTTTCTCTCGACATTCACATATCCGTTTGAATTTTTCAAGCATCCACCCGAGCCTCAGTCGCCAGCCAATTGGATATCTGGCGAGTGGCACTTTAGTCGTGAGTTCAAATCCTGGTCGAGCGCTGGCTCCACGTGCCACCCCTCCAGGCTTTGTTTAACACGATGTCCACTTTATGTGTAGTTACCAGTAATTGGCCTCGCCATAGTCTGACCCAATCCATCAGAAAATTACACGGTGGCGAGATGTTAACTGCCTCACTTGGTATGCAAGAGGTCGTGGGTTCGATCCCGACCCTGATGCCTGCTGTATATTTCGATTTAAAGCTTTCGTGACTGCAGGGATTCATCTTGTTGGTTCTTTCGTTAAAGTCACGTAGAAGGGAAGTAATAAAATAATAAAAATAAAACATAATAAAATAATTCTCACGACGTTTCGGCCACAACGCAAGCAGCCGTCCTCAGGTGAAGAATGTAACGCCACCAAGCTTGGAGCGTATATTTAAGCTGGTTTGGAGCGGGGGGGGGAGGTGGGAAGAAGAGCACCTTGATATGCAAATTATTTTGTCAAGGCGCTCTTCTTCCCACCTCCCCCCCTCCAAACCAGCTTAAATATACGCTCCAAGCTTGGTGGTGTTTCATTCTTCACCTGAGGACGGCTGCTTGTGTTGTGACCGAAACGTCGTGAGAATTATTTTATTATGTTTTGTTTTTATTATTTTATTACTTCCCATCTACGTGACTTTACCGAAAGAACCAAGAAAATGAATGCCTGCTGTATATTTGGAATTGTTCTCCCCGTGGCCGTGTGGATGTTTCTCCGGGTCCTCCGGTTTTTCCCTTCATATTTAGAATCAATATCACGTGTTTAGAGTATTTAGCTGTTATACATTTCCACGTGATAAGCCACTTCGTTGAGCTATCATTTGTGGCCGGGTCGCTTCTGAAAAATGAACTACATTAGCTCAGTGGGCCTTACCTGGTCAAATAAAAATTGCTATTTTAAAGTCATAGTTTTTATTAGAATGCGAAATTTCAGAATTTCCACTGCTCGCTGAGGGGGGCCTCCCAACCGTGGAGATGAGTGCCACCTCCATTTCCCGCTTGATCAGGAAGATGCTCCGAATCGACTTTCATCAATCGACCCGAAATTTTTAACGCGCCATATTCAGAAAAAAAGCTGACACGGAAGGCGTGGCTGCCACTGACAAAATGTTATGGAAAGCGCAGATTGTGACGGCTGACCGGACTTTGAGTTGGCACGGACTGCCTTGAAGAAAGCAACGTGCAACACTGTTACACTCCAATGGCTCCGATGGGTTCGTACTCCCACAGGCGAGCATGTGTAATAACCACGTTGGGGACAAAATGGTTTTTATTTCTTTATATTTTCTCAGTGTGCATAAGTGGATCCAGAATGTTTTTTTTTCTCTTCTATTCTTTGTGCGTAGTTCACATGTCTGCGGTCAACTCCAGCACAGAGGGGTGTCACAGGGCTCACTCTTTCAGGATAAGCAATGTCTTGGTTCAGCATTAAGTAGCGTTATGCTCACATGATACAATTCACAGACTTTCCCGCAAACCTGGGAGCCGCCGGTTGAAGAATCATTTTACGTGAAAAGTGAATGAAAGCCGCCGAGTGGCGCATCTGGTAACGTGAGCCAGGAGTCAAAGTGCCTCCAAGATTCGGATAAATTATGGGGCCCAACACTGAGCCCTGAGCGAGTGGTGGAAATTCTACATTGTCATGGCAGGGGTTGGTCTCTCCAATGGACGATCATGGTTTGATGTTTGCACGGTTGAGCATGTTTGTGTATTAATTAGTTTCTTTCATTGTTGATTAATCTGTAGCCATTCATGCTGACCGATGTTGAAGATACATTAATTAAGTTCCAAAAAAAAACCATTAGGAGCCGGTGTTGGCAGCGGTTCACAATCACAAATAATAAAAACCTACCTCATTTATCAGTAACACTTACTTTAAACCGAACAAAAAAAACGAACAACATAGGCTAAGTTGTCGGGAAATAACTTTTTATGTCCGTAAAGTTATTCGCGGTTGAAAAACTCCAATTAGACAGCAGTTTGCACTGCATCATTGCAAACACTGGAAACGGATAATTTACATATCGAAGTGCTTTTTAAATCTGAACAGCTCACAGCAGGGGCATCTGAAACGATCATCGCCGAGCTGTTGGCGATCACGTGGTGGACTTTTCCCAAATGTCAACGCGACACCACAGCTGGAGCGCGGAGGTTCAGAGGAGTGTGGCGCTCCTATGGGCGACACTTTCCCACCCGCCCGGCAGAACTTGACCGACACAACTGAAACCGCCGTTCAAAGCTGTAGATTCCTCAACGACGAACGATGCATGTGTGGGACACCCTGCATATTGACGGGCGGATATTTATACAATTGTAAAATAAGAAGAAGAAGAAAAAAAAAACCCCCTCCGAATATAATGACTTTCCGCGTGAATTTTTGAGTCTGCACCAAGTAATGGTCATGTGGAAGTAATATGACTCAGGCCGCTGCTTCGAGTGCCAATAATCTGCCGTGAATGCTCTGTGATTGTTATAGCCGCGTAGCGGTTGTGCCGAGCTTCCCGTAACAGTACAATGCGACTCACAGGAAACATCTGCTCCCACTCCCCTCTGCCCCTCTCTCCCTCTCCCTGTTTCTCTCTCTCTCTCTCCGTGCCTCCAGCGCTGAAGCGGTCCTTCGAGATCGATGACTTAGAGCAACTGCCGTCCGGCGCGACCATGGAGGTGTCCAGCCCCGGGGGTGGCCTGCTGATTGAGGAGAAGCCAAAGTCCGCCGTCGCGAGCTTCCAGGAGTCGAAGCGTGCCGAGCTGAGCAGCCCTCTTGGCTCGCGGCACGTGACGAGCCTCGTCCACACGCCAAACTCGGGCGCCAGGGCCAGCCCAGACTTCGGTGCCGGCTTCTGCCCCATTCCCAACGCCCGGGCCAGGGCCTACAATGGCTCCGGCTTCACACTGGGCGAGCCTGTGCACTTGAGCGCTGCCACCAGTCCCAAGGCCTCCGTGAGCATCGTAAGCACCAGCAGCGGCGGTGGCGCCTCCAGCCCGAGTCCGGCCACGCGGCCCAAAATGCGCTCCGTGTCCAACGTGGATGCTCCGAACGTCGACCACCAGCCCGCGTCTCCTTTCGTGCAGAGCCCCGCGTTCCAGCATTCGGCCGGCAGGAGCAACGGAGCTTCCGCGAGCTTCACCGTCGTCCCGAGTCCAGGCCTAGCATCCAGGACCAGGCCCAGCAATGGCATTAAGAGCTCCATTTCAATCGACAACCCCGATCTCTCCCACTCTTCCGGCTCTGCCTTCGGCCCAGGAGTGATTTCCGCCGGCAAACCGTCGCCGCATTCCAGATACAAGCCTCAAACCGAGTACAGCAGCACCCCTATCGCCAGGGCTTATGAAAGCAACTTCAACGCAGCATCAGGCGGCAGCGGCGTTTCTGTCCCTCGCGCTTCCCAGAGCTTCAGGGTCAAGCCGTCTGACGGCTCGAGCTCGCTCTACAGATCCAGCTCCCTCAAGAGCCCCGACTACGTCGCGAGCACCAGCCTCGTGCTCAACACCGCCCCCCCTGCCGCCAAAGTCACCGGGCCCGGCGGTTACACGCACAAGGCGAGCCCCACCGTGAGCCCGCGCTACCGATTCCCCAACGGCTCCACCTCGTCCATCTCCAGCTCCAGCTCGTACGACGAGCAGAATCTGAGCGGCGCGGCTCCGGGCTACGCAGGAAGCGTGGGACGCTCCCTTGGCGCAGGCGCCAGCGTCAGCCGTGCCTCCATCTCCTCCGTCGGGACCGAGGGGAGCACCGCGCCTGGCACGGCTGAGCCCGTGGGGAGTCCCGTCTTCTCGCCGTCGCCGTCCGCCGGTGAGCCGGTCTCCGTCGCGGCGTCGCGCTCCAGCTCCGCGTCCAGCGGCGCCGACAGCCACGGCAAGGGCGGCAGCCCGGCCCCCAGCCCCGTCCCACGTGGGGGGGAGAAGCAGGCCCCTCGTGGCCCGCCGCCGATGGCCCCCGTGGCCACCGCCGTCGCCGCCGCCGCACCCCCGCAGGCCTTCAAGCCGTACCATGGCCACGTCGACGGGGAGGTGCTGGCGCCAGCGACGCTGGCAACCTCGGTCCACGGGTCGCAAGCGGCGGCGGTGACACCGCCGCCATCGTCACAGCTGCCCTTCAAGGAGCAATCATCTCCGAGGCCTCAGGTGGAGCGCAGTCAGCAGCAGCAGCTGCAGCAGCACCGGCAGCAGCAGCAACAGCAGCAGTTTCAGAAGCAGCAGCAGCTGATGCAACTGCAGCAGCAGCAACAACAACAACAGCAACAACTGATGCAGCAGCAGCAACAGCAGCAACAGCAGCAGCAGCTGATGCAGCAGCAGCAGCAGCAGTTCCAGAAGCAGCAGCTGCAGAAGCAGCAGCAGCAGCAGGAGCACCCAGTGGTGGCTGCACGGGTGTCTGAAGCGAGGATGGCAAGTCCAGGAGGTACGATCTCTTAACTACCTGACGGTGTGGTAACGGAAACACGTATTTGTTTGTGCCTGTGTGCGTGTGTTTCCAGCGGTAGTGGATTTGTTACCACACTTCCACACAAACCCGGCGACCTGAGTCCGCGCGTTGGCCGTGGCTAACGTCGGTGACACTTGTTCTGAACGGGTCCTCGGCCTTGCCTAGGTCGACTCAGCCTTAAATTAGTACCTGGTGTGGTGTGTAAACATCAGCACTGGAAAGACGAAGATGGCTGGGTGTGGAACTCTCGTGTGTTGTGCTTGCTAACAGGACTTGTGCCCCTCACAGCCTGAAAAGCCTTCATGTAGGATCTCTGTTTTTGTGTATTCAGAGATGGGATATTGACAAGTATCTGAGAAATTTTTTTGAGAATTTTTTTTGAGTTTGCTACACCATGTGAGTTTTACTTGGGGGTCTTTATCAATGATTGGTTTTACTTGGGAAATGATCAAGTATGGGTTTTACCAGGGCCTTTATCAATGATGGGTTTTACCAGCGCCCTTATCAAGAATATACATTCGTGAGCAGATGCTGACGTTTTTTTTAAATAAAAATTCCACCCTTTTGCTAAACAAAACAAAATCTGTTTGACAATTTACCTCTTCTTCACGAATTCCCGAGAGCAAGCATAATGCTCCCTCACTGACGACACGCGATACGTATTCTGCGTACGCACGGAACTTGGTGATTTTGGTGAAAGATTTTTGATGCCTAGGACTCGTTCGGAGATGAATTGCCGCTGATGATATGATGATAGCCATGGCCGGTAATAGAACCCGAGCTGCAGAGCACCAATCACCGCACCATCTGTCTACCACTCCTGCACAAGGATACTGTGCGTATATCTGCGTACGTTTAACATGGCTTTTACCTCACCAATGAAGCTTTTGCTGTTGTAATATATAAACGATTGTCTGGGTATTATAGTATACGTTCCGTTGATGCGTGGACTTGAAGGGGTCAGTTGAAAATATGTAGGTGTGTTTAAAAGACCTGCATTTAAAACGATCCTCAACAAAAAACAACGCGATCGTATCTTTCGCGTATTTTTTTTCTCTCCCGCGAGAAACCACCGATACGGTTACCACTTTGGACAAAAAAAAAATCTAACTTTGTATATATACATTTTTTCGTGAAGTTAAATTGCAGTCAACAACGGGACGCTTAAGGTGGATCAACGCGAAGAGACGTGGACAACTCGAAAAAAGGACACGTCCGTGCAATGCCGAGAGCTCGTCGCAATGGCCCGTCACACCTTTTAGAGCCATAAGAATTGTTTGCCGCGGAGTCCGTGCGTGGAGCATGCCTTCACGCCACCTCCCATCGAGATAGTAGTCCTGGCGTAGTCTCTCCCTCTCTTGTGGATCCACCCATGACGAGCGACTCGTAAACTTGAGTGTGGAGGCGGGCAGTGGAGTGGTGGGGGGGATAGCCACCGCTTGGTGTCGAGCTTCCAGCTGCACCGATTGGATTGGGAATTCTCTGGGGTTTTTTCGCAAACGAACTTTTCTGTCTTCTTGGTTCTTTCGGTAAAGTCACGTAGAAGGGAAGTAATAAAATAATAAAAATAAAACATAATAAAATAATTCTCACGACGTTTCGGCCACAACGCAAGTAGCCGTCCTCAGGTGAAACCAGGTCTGTCGAGGCGACAGCGTCTGAATAAAACAGCACACGTGCTTGGAGCATATATTTAAGCTGGGTTGGAAGAGGGGGGGGGGGGAAGGGGGCGCCTTGACAAAAGAATTTGCATATCAATAGGAATCCAGCATACCCATGGGAAATGCAGGTATGTGATTAGCACTACTTGTGTAAGTGGACTTTTCTGTCCTATTATTGTTTATGCCACACATCTGGGTAAATTGCAAGCAGGCTTGGTTGCGTATTTGACAGTCGACATTGAACATTCATGTGGGACACTAATGTTCAATTCAGGATTGTTGTTGATTCATCCAGAAACATCTACCGTCACCTTGCACATGGATACCTGCTGCTTGTGCTTTATTCATTTTGTCGAAATGAATGAAACATTTACAAAACGCTCCTTTCCTCTCTTTTCTACGCTGAAAACCTTACCACCACTTCTACAAATAATGATAATAACACCCATTATTTATCACGGAAAACCTCAATGCATCTCAAGACCTGTACAAGAAGAATTCTGCATTGAGTTGTTTTGCCATGATCATGAATGAGTGATCAGCTTTGTGTGTGAAAACTGGAGAACTGGAAAAAACCCATCATGCACTCTAATCTCCCAGCGCCATGTCTACGGCACCTGGCAAGCCCTGGCATCTGCAGGCACCTGCCAATTTATCCATTACAGTATCAATTAATTATGCAACACCTTAACCGAATATAGATTAAAAGACAAGTTTAACACTTTGCGGGTATGAACCATGAATTACAAATCACAGAATAAAAATAAATAGCGCAGCAATTTATGTAAACAAAGACTGGCCGTTGCCATTGGAATGTGGACATGACACCAGTGAAGATGACTGCCAATTAGTGCTCATTTGAGCTTTAAGACGCTGGCCTTTGGTGACATGTTTTGTGACCAAAATAAATTAAACGTTGTGATAATTTGGTAATGCGGGTCTGTATTGTGCAGAAGTGCAATAAACCTAAAATGAATGCTGCCAAAAACAGTACATTTCACCAACTTTTGTTTATATGGGAACAACTACAAACTTGCACAAAGTAGTGATGATCCAGTCATTTTATTGCCAAGCATCAGAGGAAACCGCATTAACGCCAAGCCGCGAATGAGGCTGTATATCGTCGAATGTCATCTCTTTAAACAATAGATTTGTGTTAGTGGAAATCCGTCTTGGGAATATTCTCCTAAAAATGGGAACATCACGTTGGCAAGCTGCACTGGTTATTGCAATTCGCATTTCTAATCGGGCAATGCCTTAAACAGACGCCCATGACCAAGCAGTCGTTTTGTCTGAAAACGTAGCGGCATTATCTCTTTAATTTCTTTAGATTGCAGAAGCTAAGCTGGTTAGTTATTGGATGGGGAGGCTGCCAATAAATGATCGGCGTTGCAGGGCTTGGCCTGTGAGGTGGCCAGGAGATAACAGCACAGCAAAGGGTTTCTTAAATCTGTCTGTGTGGAGCTTTGTGTATTCTGGGTTATTCTTATAAGCCCAACACTCATCGATGGAATTAGCCAAACATCCCAATGCAATGCAAGACCCTCCTGATACTGGGTGAGGCTTTCCTGGGTAAATACAGGGCATTATTATTTATTATTAAGTGATTGACAAACCTTGAGTGGCAACATTTAGAAGGCCCTCTTGAGATCACAGCACTTCACCAATAACCCGATGTCCACAGATCTGGCACACACGCAGGTATGCATGAGCACCTGTGCGGTCATGCCAACCTGCATGAAAGTTAGCAGGTGTGATACACACTACACTACCTGGTTAAGGGCAAAGTAAAATAATTTCCTTTAAAGGTGGTTAGAGTTTCGCTTGATCTTGGGTTGACTGCGGATAGTTTTTGTCCACGGAGGAATGCGCGCCGCACGTAAATGCGAGTGTTGGAGCATGGCGATACGTAATCGATTTTTATCTCGGGGTGGAACGCAAAGGCTATGATGGGTGTGGTTGCTCTTTATTATTTCCACTTGATTCAACGCACTGGTGGGTCTACGATAATGTACCGCGTTTGGCGACGGTACGGATTGCTGCAGTTTGCGAGAATATCAGAGCTGCGAGGGCAATTTACCGTTTACGGTGAAGGTAGCGCTTGAGAATGAGCGGTTGTTACGGTTTGCGCCCGTTTCTGAACTCGCTGCTGGACGAGGGCATCCCCTTCGCCACGTCGGTCGTAGGGACTGTTTGGGCTCACTTTGCCATGCCACTCTGTTGCGGGTTTCTGCAAAGATGGTCTTGGCTAGGATGATCTCGGAGGGCGCTTGGCACCGGCAGTCAAGCTCGCGGTGCGACAACTATTGTGCCACTCCTCCGCCCACCGCCGGAAATGCTAGGAACGATGTATCATCGGAAGAAGATGAATGCGAGATGTGTTTGTTTGATATATGAATAAGGGCACCAGGGTGTCATCGGAGTTCAAAAATGTGCCCCCCACCCCCGCCACTTCAGCAAAACTTGTTGACAGATGGGCTCTCTTTGGTTGTAAATAGAGCAGTTATCAATCTAGATTAGAAGTTTTCGTGACTGCAGGGATCCATACCCTTTGGTTCTTTCGGTAAAGTCACGTAGGTATAAAATAACATATATAAAATCACGACGTTTTGATTGCAACACAAGCAATCGTCATCAGGTGGAAAATCACAGCAAGAACATTTTTCCACTTCAGCAAAAAAAATTTTGCTGTGATTTTCCCACCTAATGATGATTGCTTGTGTTGCAATCCAAACGTCGTGATTTAATTTATTTTATTTTATACCTTCGTGACTTTACCGAAAGAACCAAAGAGCATGGAGCAGTTATTTGATTGCGTTCGAGTCGCGTCTTGAAAGACGAAACACCATTGGCTCGATTCACGCGCTGGAATTTGTCACCTTTCCACCCAATTAGTGCGTGGAAATGCCCTCGTTGGTAGAAGGTCGCAAAGCTGTTTTGCCATGAGATATCGCGGCACGGGCTCCCGGCTACGTCCACGTTGCCCGAGTGTACTCGCAAAAACGCTATAATAGTTACGATAATTCATCCGTAGTGTTGCTGTCCAGTTATAATTATGATCATTAGGATGGCATTGATTTTGATTGGGAATATAGATCGAGAGATACGTTTGGATGTCAGTGGATGATGAATGAATGTACTCCCGTCGATGCATAGATATTTGTTGAGTGCGTGAATGATCGAACAAGCGATTAATACACATCCGAGTTGGCCCATATAGAGTGCCGTTCATAATTCTGCGGAGACAGACGATGAGTGGTCTGCGTTTCCCAGAATGCCTCGTGGTTTCCGAGAAAAGCCAAGCGCGCTCCGTGC